ATTGGAAGGTTCTAGAAGAAGAGCTATGAGGGACCATCTCTGAGCAGCAGCAACAGCTAAGGAAGCAAACATGTGAAGAGAAATCTGTTAAAACTCCCGCAGCTGAAGCATTTTCGCGGATGTTGTCTATCTCAGAAGGTAAATCGGAATTATTATATATTAGTATATACTAAAACAGTGGATAGTGTTTTTCGCGTGCTCTGATTGGTTACCCAATCAGTGAATATCCTGCACTATTCACTGATTCACCTCCAGTTCCTCCGAGCGAGCAACGCTAAACTCGCATAAGTTGCGAGCAAAATGCATTCCCGGTTTGCTGCCATAACAAACAAACAAATTTCACAACTAATCAAGCAAGCTGTTCCCGAAATACACGAAGAAGGTGACGAAGTTCGATTTGGAAGTTTTAACAGGTAAAGCTTTGTCTTTTTGACTAGAATTTATCGATAAAACCGGTGGAAGAGTCTTTTGTTTACAAATGCAGATTAAGCAATTATTCAGTTGACTTGTTCATAAATAAGCTTAAAACTAAATTTAATAATCTTTTTTACAGAATGATTTTAAGTACAAAAAGAATTCACAACTCCTCTTGAGGAAATTTCCCCGCAAGAGCTAAACAAATACCTTCAAAAATTATCGGCAAGAAAAAGTGACGACTACGGCCATTCGGTCATTGCACGCCAAAATTGTAATCGTTGACAACAGTAAATTATGAGTTAAAAATCATTTTTGTGCTCAATTATCTCACTGTTTTAGTATATACTAGAACATTTATTCACCTCAGTGTCGGTGGCTAGTGTTGGATATTTACCTCTTCAAGTGTTGTTTTTCAACACTCGAAGAGAAACTTCGTATCTCGAATTGCTTTGATGATTATAAAACTCATTCAACTTATCACTCAAAACTGAAAGCTCAACATGGTAATTTTGTCTAGGTTCGATCGCAAGTTACAAGTTACAAAAGTCATGCAATAGCTAGTGTCACAAGCCTCAAAATAAAGTAATTTCCGCAACAACTATATTGCGTAACATCGTCGTCATAATGCGCGGCATTTGCTTTTACCCGGTTGAAACTTGCATTGACAAGCGCCCTCTATTTCAGCCAGAAAGATGGAACATGTCAATTTACATTTTCGTTCATAACAGCACGATGCATAATGACAGGAGAACATTGCTCTCCACCGTATGTTAATAGGAAAAATAAGTTTACTGTGGTACTGCAAGCTACGAAAATAAGTACATTTATTTTACTTCTTTTCACAAAGCTGATGATCTTATTCGTATGAGCCGCCATCAAGTGACACAATACCATATACTACATCCGTTTTGAAATTGTGATCGGCTAACACTTATCTATTGAAGATTACAGAAAGAAAAAGAAAGAACAAAGTCGACCACCTGTTGGACAAGCTACATGGTGGCATTATCAAAGGTATGACGAAGCCTCTGTATAACCCAAAGGCATGGCGTGAACCTTCCCCACTTTAAGGTTGCTGTATCAGACCGCATTGTAATTTCATCCCCTTTTTGCGCATTGTTTATCACTTTTTCATAATTTTAAGCTTGAGTCATTAGCTTGACATGTACTTTACATTAACACAGGGACAGAAACCACAATGATATAATTTCTTTATCCATTTTCAGGCAAACGATCGCGCGAGTAGATCCAAGTACATCGGTTACATTAGCGACATTGGCTGGTTTTGGGTAGTGGGTCTAAGGCCTCAGGATATCCTGGTTTCCGGTACGGGTAAGATCACCAGTGGCAATACCCGCTACTCTGAGGAATGGTACACCGGTTACACTGACTGAAAAGGCTGAAACAATTAAACCTTGTAAGGCTAAGCTTTCCTTACTATGTAATAACTGACTTAGTTTAGTTGTAGTTATATTCTTTCCACGTTTGTTTTACGCACAAAACATTCCAGCAAAGGCATCTGGGCCGCAAAACTCAGTATAGCTTGTAAACAACCTAAAAACATAAACTCAAGGTGTATTACTGAAACTTGTAGACAATTATAGCTATAGACATGAGTGTTTTTCTATAAATTTTGTTAAAAACACAATTTTTTGGCGCACGGAAGTGAATATTGAACTCAAAGCGTTACAGAAGATTGAGTATTTGAACATTTTCACAAGAGGTTAACCAGTAATACAATGAGTAATATGTAGTTTTTAGCATTATGTTCAAAGATAAACGTTTGTCTGTTATTTGGACCTTCATTCCGTTAGCTTCGCTTAAATTCCTTATTTCATCACTGTTAGTAGACTTTCAAGAGAAAGGCATTTATAATCAAAAGGTGAACACTGAATTATTGTACTGGTGTGTCAAGGGTATCTTACCAGGTCTACTTATAGTTCACACTTTTACGGTTATTTATTGCTTTTGTTAAATAACTACAGCTGATTGTAATAAATAAATGAAGCCAGTAATTTGTTAACTTACAGTGTAATTAAGAAAGGAATAATTACTTAATAATTTTTCATTCTGCTCGCCAAAA